TCTTGCGGCGTGAAAGACTTTCTTTTCCAGCCTTCGACTGATTCGTGTCTTCGCTCGAAAAAGGCGGTGATCGGAACCACTGCGGAAGGTTAAACCAGGGTTAAGCGTGGGTTGTGGCACGCCACACTTGGGGGGGGGGGGGTAGTTATAAAGATGATAGTGATGTTAGCGACATAATGTCAGTCAACAATGTTTGATAGGGCCATTGTGCAAGATAGCACTGATTTTTACCGTCCTACACGTACAGTAAGCATAATAAAAGGATCCTAAAATTATAAAAGCATCATTTTCGTATTTGCATGGGAAACGAACTCCGCCGGTCTGGACCATCTCCGCGGACTACTAGTCCTGCAACGACATGCACTGCAGTAGGACCATTGCCAGCGGAGTCGGGCTCAAACTGGCGAAATTCGTTTTCCTATCCGCATATCACATAACCTCTGTGAGCCATGTTTCAGCGAATTTTGAAGTTAGATACTGGGACACTCAAGTGAGCTAGTCATTTTCAAACATGTTAACTTGTTTCAAAAGTGAGTAAACTACGTCTTTTAGCACTCATTACAAAGTACTACTACTTCTTTGCTCACATTAGGAATCCCACTCAACTAACCTCCGAAATATGGGATTGAGAGCAAGCCAAAACCTCGTTTGCCCATTTTTCGCTTTCAGTTTCTCATGCTAGAAAATACTAATCAGGCTCAAATTACTTTTCTGAAAGTTACGAGGATCAGGTTACCGAATATATTCAGTCTTGCCTTCCCTCGCGATTCACGTAGTAGCGCAGACTTAGCATATCACCGTAATCCAATATTTTCGCTGTTTTCCTTTTGCATAGCTAGGAAAAAAACGACTATATCTTTCCCGAGGAGAAACAATCTTTAATGGATTTTCTGCTATATATGAAGATTTGGCCGTAGCAACCATATAAAAAAGACAGAGATTTGAATGCTTTGAAGGTGAGTTAATGGGGTGTTGCACAACCTAAAAAGCTGTGGCCTCCACAGCTTTATAGAGATGGTGCCGTACCCCATTAACTTGTCTCCAAAAAGAATATTAGCGAACAAAATACACATGGTTTGATAGAGTGAGTCTTGTATTTTCATAGAAATAATGTGGTCCTGATTCATCTTCTTCGCTCTGAAAAGCTTGTGAAAGCGCAGCCATTGAAGGCGAAAAGGGAACAAACGAAATTTTGGCCTGCTTCTTAATCCATAGTTTGATGGTTTTTTGAAGCAGGATTCATGGTATGGGTAAATAGGGAGTAGTGCTTTGTATTGAGTACAGTAAGAGTTAGCTAATTCATTTTGAAATATACTTAATCATTTTTGAAAATGACTACATCACTTGAGTGGTCCAATATTGAGAACCCTCAGAATTTGCTAAAACTTGGCCCATGGGGGTTACTTGACATGATAATTACGAATATGTCCTAATTAAGCATGATAGAGCCTTTGTGTTATGTCTACGGAATGCAGACGATAATGCTGGTGGAGGGGGGAGTATTGAGACAGAAGATGGGGAGGGGGGGGGGGGTCGTATCCGGCGATTGTGTGCCACATCTCTTGCTCCACCCCGGGTGGAACTACTGAGACATCGAGCAAGCTCCACCTAGCAATAGTTGGTGAGCACAGATGCTTGTTTGATCGTCATCAAGCCCGTCTCGTATCCGTATCCGTATCCGGGGAATCGCGCCAGTTTGAGCACCGTATTCCAAGAAGAGATTTCTCCTAAAGATGCGCTGTAATCAATTGATGGCTCTAGTGCTGTACACTAAAAATATCTCAACGGGCCTTCGAACCCAAACTGGTTGCTTATCTAGAACAAATTAGAGCACTATTATTGTTGAGGCAGAAAATCACATTTATTTGTTCTTTGAAGTCATGTGAACGATACAGTACTTGGATCTCTTACAAAAGAACTATCTCTACGGAAGCGCAGCAAAAACTTAGGAAAACTAAGCGATACTGCAGAATTCATGAACTCTGGACAAACATTGTTGTATAAGCTGGCAAACAATGCAGACTGGTGAGGACAGCTCTATGAGACAGTTCTAACATCAACACCATATTCAAAATGTAATCGATTTTTTGCACGATTTGCATGAAAAGTTTCTTCCAGCATGTGAGTAAACTGCACATCAGGAGAATGCATCTAAACGGACATCTAATCGTTCATATACCCACAATATTACAACAGTTCCTTCATATTCTTTGGTCCTCTGGCTGTTTGTCCGCTTGGTTTGAACTCTTTCACGGCAGTAAAAAGTGATCTAAAGGGCTATTGCTGGACGAGCAAAAGCAATATCACTTGAACGGGCGCGAACTCACGCGCCTTTCTTCACCTTTGTAAATCTTGCGTCTCATGTGTTCTGCGGCTAAAACCCGTTCGCCCCTAGTGCAAATTCGTACGGCAGTGATAACATCTGTGGCCATTCCAGATGATTCATAAGTTGCTGAAACCAGCAATGAATGCTATCTTGAAACAGCAATTCTTATTTGCGAGATGCTTTATAGCGTGGTGCAGCACCAGCAAGGTCGTTTATTATTCGGAACGTATCGCGTTTAAAATCTTCCAAAAAGAGCGCTTCTACAATTTTATTTCTAACGCTTTTCCAAATGGCGTTCCGCGGATATGAATTCCAGCCCTAACAAGAAGGCATTCATTGCTGTGTCAGCAACATATATCTCATTTCGAGTGACAAGATTTTGATGTTTTATTATAGCAAAGATCCTAATAAGCAAGTGCTCAGGCTTGGCTGCAACAGATGAATTCCGAAGCAAGAAAAACGCTTCAAGGTAGAAGCAGCCATGCTAGTACCCATGAAATGTGTGGTATGAAGATTAGAATTCGAGAATGGGGCATTGATACAGGGCAGGTCTACGATAATTCTGGATATATTAGAGCCCGAGCCTAAACTTTCTATCTTTAGACTATACATGTTGATGGGCGGAGCCAGTGTGGCCACTTCTAATTTCTAGAATAGTTTCCTCGTTTTGGAATTCATTTGTTGCGCGAAGCTCGGGCGTTTGCTTAGTTAGGGGCTCCAGCCCCGCTACCACATAACAAAACCTCAACACCTTCAGTTTGGGTGGATGCTGTCTTCAAGTATAGTAACCGCCAAAAAGGTGCGGACAAGCCGCCTTCCTTTTTTCATCGCTCATTTTTGGATGGAAAACAAAGATGAAAAAATGATTGTGCACGAAATGATAGACCTTTTCAAAAGCTATAACCCTCACACTGCGCTTTCTAAAAAATATGTATTGTATAATTTTCAAATACCTTATTCTAAAAAAAGTCCGAAAATGGCCGCGTCACAATGTCGCGGACAATAATCCTTCGAACGCGAAAATGTTCTTTTGGGTCTTTGTTTGGAGCAAAAACAGAAGTTTTCCTGACAGATAGCGTACTATATCATAGAGCTCATCAAGGACAATAATCAGGTAGTGGTTACTTCCAAAAAAACCCAAGACTGAGTTTTATTATGCTTTTTCTCAAAAGTAACCTCTAAGTACCTTTTCCAAGCCAAATTTCTTCGCAAGGAAATATTTAAAACATCCCAACAAAGCTCTTTAGATAAAATGGATGCTTTTTGCCAACTTCTATGCATCGGACGTGTGCTGGTGAGTTTCTTTGCTGAAGCTCTACAGTGCGTACACATAACCCCACCTGCACCTCACCACTGACTTGCACCGCTTTGCAGACTTGTAGCTCGGCCGTCAGTCACTCTACAAGCCTGCAAGTAGGCTCATTCGAAAGAGCGTGACTTCCCGGGCACGATCGTATGCAAAAGTGTTGAGGACGAGAAAGAGCGGAGAATTGGCGGATGGGGTGAAAAAGCGCAGCGTTATAGGCAATTGGAGTGGAGGCTCTTGTCAACACCAGAACAGTCCTAAAGCTTCGAAATGGATCTATTACAAAAGCATTGACAGTTTTAAACTTCCAGGATGGAACTTGTAGCGAAAGAAGCTTTGTTTAACTTTAGCTGAAAGTTCTTGGCCTACCACTGAAGCTGCGCTTTTTCACCTCATCCACCAATCCTCCACCGTTTCTCATACCCAACCCTTTTGCATAGCATCCTGTCCAGAAGGTCACGCTCTTTCGAATGAGTCTACTGGCAGGCTCGTGGAATGACTGATGGCCGAGCTACAAGTCTGCAAAGCGGTGCAAGTCAGTGGTGAGGTGCAGTTGGGTCATGTGTACGCACTGTCAAGAGCCCTTTCCAGCAAAGAAACTCACCAGCACACGTTCGATGCATAGAATATGGCAAAAAGCATCCATTTTATCCAAACTTTGTTGGGATGCCTTGAACATATTCCCATGTGAAGAAATCTGGCTTGAAAAAGGGAGTTAGAAGTTGTCTATTGAAAAAAGCAAGATAAAAATGAAGCTTGGGGTTTTTTTTTGAAAGTAACCACTACCTGATTATTGTCCTCGATGACCTCTATAATGTAGTACGTTTATCTGTCTGGAATCGTTCATCTGGAAAACTTCTGTTTTTGTTCCAAACAAATACCTAAAAGAACATTTAGGCGTTCGAAGGATTATTGTCCGCGACATTGTGACGCGGCCATTTTCGGACTTTTCTTAGAATAAGATATTTGAAAGTTATACAACACATATTTTCCAGAAAGCGCAATGTGTGGGTTGTAGCTTTTGAAGAGATCTATCATTTCATGCAACCCAGTCATTTTTTCATCTATGTTTTCCATCTGAAAATGAGCGATGAAAAAAGGAAGGCGGCTTGTCCGCAACTTTTCGGCGTCAATGTAGATGCAAATGCTCAAAAAGTTTCGCTGAAAAGCCTGTGCACAGCTTAAATTCAGACAGTAGGCTATAAATTTAGACGAATAGCACGAGAAATGCCATCTGCTCTAATCTTGAGAATCATTTTGAGTTTGTTGGTAAGTGTTCAAACCTTAAAAAAAGCCAGCATGTTCAACGAATCTTTGTCACAGAACAAAGCATCACTTTTCTAACGAAAACAGATGAAGCTATTATTAATGATTCTGGGAGTGCTCGCCATCGTTAATACAAAGTTGCAAAGAATCCAAGTTCGAGTAACGCTCTCTTGTTTTGGCAAGCCGGTGCATGGAACCACGGTGGAACTTTGGAAGAGAAATGAGGGTGGGTTGTTTTAATGAAAACGCAATAACAGCATTTTGTGAAGTAACGTGATGTCTCAAGAAGGTCCCAACGATCGTCTTAACGCAACGACCGCTTTCAAAAATGGCACTTTCTATGTGGATGGAAGTGACGATGAGGAGGACGCCCTTGAATCATTCCTTGTGATTATACACAACTGCAATGTGACATGTAAGGTAGGCTGGGAACTGCTTACTATCTTGTTTACTTCCGAGTTTCGAGTTTAGGGCTGTTATCGATCAGTAGTGCGTGAGCTCAGAGATTCGTGTCCGTGGAAGAAGAAGAAGACGATAGGCGATAGATTCTTTGGTGTGGGAGGGATACATCTGGAACGGAAAGATGCGTACTGACTATGCTGAACAATAAAATTTTCGCAAGCATAGATTACCGCTTGGATGCCCATAAAACAATGAAAAATAGCAAACGCAGCCACGTTTCAAAATGAGTACTTTCTCTAACCTTGGGAAGTAGCGTCAGCCGCGGCCAAGGGTTTCAAGGGTTTCTTCAAGGGCTTCAGGGTCATAAGTCGCGAAAATTCTGGAAAGTGACCCAAGAATATTCCCGAAGGGCACTGCTGTCATCTACCCCTCATTCGAAGAAAATTTCGGCCCCCCCCCCCCTCCTCCTTCCACGAATTTTGCTGGCAAGGTGCGTAATTCCATCCGATTAGAGTTACGTTGGCAGGAAGCGGGGTGTGCAATTCAATTACTACGCCAAAACACAGTGAAGCAAGACTAATTTATTTGATTCTGATAGAAGAAAGACCAACAAGATCGTATATCGGCAACATGACCCTCAACAACACTGCAAGTATACTTGAAAGAAAGCGTAATTCTGATCAGAAACGCAGATAAAGAAGACAGATTCAGAGTCAGCATTCCTCGAGAAATAAACCTCCTCGAAATGGCCGGTTTCCCTCACTGAAATTTTGCTTAAAAAACGACTACCAATGAAAGCGTTGTTCCTGTGGAATTGGTCGTTTTACGGAAGTTAACATAAGAAAATAAATGCGATGAACAAATCTAACAAGGAAAGGATACTTGGTGACCGTGGCCTTTTGCATGGATATGTATACCAGTAGATGCGCCTCGAAGCGCTGATTCCAGATCTACGTTTATTACCTGCTGTGCAACACTCTGAAAAAAGTTATGGATTTTTTCCATCGATCCACGAGATCTAGGCAGTCAGAATCGTCGGTATCCAGGCTTTTTAGTTCTGGAATATCGGAGACAGTTCTGAACTCAACACAGAGCTTTTTTTCAATCGAACGCTCTTATGCAGTGCGTAAATGAACCTTCTAACGATATGGGTGAATGTTGTCAGCAAAACACTGCAAATTTTGGTAGGAAGAAATGTTCGTAACTTCTTACTAAAGAGCGCACAACAGTACTGAAAGCAGATTTGGAATCAGCGCTTCATGATGCATTCAGTGGTGTGCGTTCTATCAGAAGGTTACCGCCACCAAGTATCCCTTCCTTGTAAGTCCTTCCTAGTGAGATGCTGTTGAGATCGGACTTAGGTCTGTACTTAATCACCAATTCTCAACCAGTCGAAGTAGCATTTTGAATTCGACAAGAATCATCTGAGATGTTAAGCTACCAAACATCAAGTGTGGCTCAAATTTCTTTCTGAATGTATCGGTAAAAGAGCCTTCGCAATGACACCATGGAGGATGTATTGTGTTATTTTAGAACACTTGTACGCCCTGAATGTTTTGGCGGAAAAAGCAAGAGGGAATAGTAAATTTTTTATGTAAAGATTTGCACTCGCGAGTCGCTATCCACATTACACTGTATATGGATAACATTCATGTAAACTATCTTTATTCGACAAAACCTTTGAACAAAGCGATGCTGCAAAATTCATGGCGATTCACTTAGCAAAATGGAAAAATGTTGGCAAAATTTTTAACCTTGATTCAATTCGAAAAAGCAAAAGCGATATTGCGAAATTTGCTGGGCTTCGATTTGTTCCATTGATTGAACCATTGAGGAATGCTGCAAAATTTCTGTAATCTGTGGAAGCATCTTATTCACATAAGCGCGCAAAAGTTTGTTCTTTACTCAAGAATTATATTGTTTGGATGAAGATTTTCAATCCTCTCAACCAAGAAGAGAACCACTCCGGATATAGCTTTAATCCAGTTCTAAAGACCGTGGCACTATTATTCCCCTAAATGCAGTGTCCGGGCAAAAACTCAACTTTCAGAAAACCCACTTAAGGTGTTATCCGCAACGCTGAATCCGAAAATCCACATTAGAAGGCGCGAACGGCGAGAACATCCAAAGATTTACAAGTTGAATTTCGACGGTCCCCGCCAAGGCTGAAACGCAAACCCGCCGCGGGACCCTACGATTTTAGCGGTGGCGGCATGCTGCTCCGCCGCAGAGCAAGAATTCAAACAGGTGAAGGAACCCGCCCCAATGCGTAAGTTTCCACAATTTCCGATCGTTTTTGCTTTAGATCGAACGTTATAACTTCGCACTTGCGATGCTGTGTTTGAGGGGGACCACTGCGTGGCACTGAATACCCAAAACCTCTACCTTGTCCGGGCACTGCCTTTGAGAGCAAAGGCTAAAGAAATAAGTCTCCTAGATACTGTATGAAACCAAAAATGGCGTTGAGATAGATCCAACTTCAACGGTCTCATTTGTAACCCATCTACATCTATAAAAAGGTCAGCTCATGCTTGAAGGCAGTGTCGATTTCAATGTCACGAAATGGTAGCCGCCCTGACATTCCCACCAGCTCAATCGCGGGCACATCTGGCGAAACCGGAAGCGAAGAAAATGCTGCAGAAGTGGAGAGAGTTACATGATTGGAGGATCTCGCCCACCGAGGGATAAATCGATACGCTGGAGTGCGTATATTGCACACAGACAAGACGTAGCGTCCCACCACGACTCTGCATCTCAATCTCGGCGGCAGTTGTTGAAATTCAAAATCAGGGGCTTCTGTAATAGCCCGTTCTCGACACATTCGTACTCCACAAGCTGTATTTTTGCGGGAATCAGAATCAGCGGGAAGGATGAGCTCAAATAAGCCAAAGAAATTTTTATTTAAAATTTGCCCGTACGCTGCCATCAATGGCAGGGTCCAGCTTCGGATCTGCCAGCTAATAAGATAATCGCTGGGGGCGGCGGTTCGCAAACTCGCGCTTTTCTACAGGCGGTCAGCAGAATTTTTGGGCGTGGCCAAACCTTCAGCAGGCGGCACTTCCTTTACGGTCGCATTTTCTGCCAGCGAGCAGCAATACAGCATTTTTTGCAAGCGCTGGCAAATAATTTTTTTCAGCGTACGTTGGCCAAATTTTCAGCAAGCGACTCTTTTCACGCAGTTTTGGGCATACGCCGAGCAATGGTGAGACTCTATCTGGCAGAGGTGTCATCGATGGTCTGGGTACCCAAGTTTGGGGTATCTTCTGTCAGTGGAGGGTACCCCGGGCAGTGCGGTCTTCCACAAAGGACCTCCGGGCCCAAACAATCCTGCATATTCCCGCGAAAAGTGCGCGAGAATGCGGCCACTGGGCCGCAACTTATCCATAGAAAAACCGCGATAGTTCCCCGAGCGTTCGTCCAGAAATTGGCCAAAATTATTCCAAATTTGTGCAAGCGGACCGCAAGAAATCAGCGAACTATTTTTCGGGTGCCTGCTTGCTCAAAATTCGCGTGGCCGCCTGCCCCCGGCGATTGTCTGAGTACGTGTCTACCGAAACCCGAAACTGATATGGGCTGCCTGCTCTTCTCCTCCTGTAAGTTCTCTGATCAAATCATACCAAATTTCATCGCCGTCCAAAATACACTCAAAATGAGTCCTTCACGGAATTTCTAACAGTGCTTGAAGCGCGCAAGTGCAGTGCAAAACATTACCAGTGCAGCGCGGGATTGCACGCCAAAGTTAGCTTGATCCGAATGATTGGAATAAACTGTACATACAACAGCATTGTGTAACGTATGTGATGACTCCAAGAAGAGCTCGGCCATCGCCTCGTTGCAAAGACCACATGCAATAAAGGTTCTAGAAGTATCTTTTGTGTAAAAAAATACAGAGAGATGCCCCTAACCATTTTTCGTAATTATACACATCTGCAATGTGACATGTAAGATACGTTGTAACAGCTCTTCTTTTTCACTGGTGGAAGTTTCGAACTTGGAGCGGTTACAATCTTCCGTGCATAAGCTTAAAGGTGCGACGGTGGTACGGTCCCATGCGTGACGCTCAACGATGAACGTTTTGCTGTAGGAAAATTACACCCAGAACGGGGAAAAATTGAGTGATCCCATTATACAGCTAAATGCATGTTTGTCTGTCTATATGTGTGTACGTGAACTTGATGCATGAAACCTAATTATAGCCCCCCCCCCCCTTTAATACGAAACGCAAAGAAAAAAACAGTGCTGCCACCTGGCTTAATTCAAATGTTTGTATGCGATAATTCTAAACTGCGCGAAAATACTGATACTGTTAAACTTCAACAAACTGAGAAATATCAAACGGTCATTGTTTCTTTACCAATTTTACATTTGAGCTCAGCGCTTTATACCCACCGATGAGTTGCAAATGAGCGGTTAGCAAACTAGAAAAGTAATAAAAACAATGTTACTGTAAAGGAGTAATTCACGCTGTCCTTTTGCCTTGGCTTTTTTGAACACCATTCTTATCAAATGTAAAGTTCGGAGCGCCTACCCAAATTGCGTAACGGCTAGATTTTGTGTTCTGTTTCCGTATTCTTCTTTTTTTGTGCACAGAATAGAAGGTCACAGACTGAACTGGACATTCTGCATATTGATGCCCATAAAATTGCGTTCAACCAACGCCATGGAGACTGTTCCAGCCTTCGCACCTACAAGCCAAGACAGTCTTCACAAAGGGTGGAGGAACGAACGCCTCAATTAGGCACCGCCTCCGCGGACCACTGGTCCCAACACGATGCACAACAGCAGGACGAAAGGACCAGCAGCCCGCGGAGGCAACGCCTAATTGAGGCGTTCGTTCCTCTACCCCTTCACAAACGCCGGCCTCCACGCTCTTCTCGACGCCGCTACAAAGCACATCAAGTACTACGTCATCGCTCTACAGGAAACGAAAAAAAATGATGGGACCCTCATCAATCATACTGAACAAGTTCTATCACAAACTGTTGGAGAATTGGCTTTGTCTACAGTATACAGTCCGCACTAATCCTGAACGGCCGACATTGGAATGGCGCGCATCCGCTACAATTTTTGGTCAAATCTACGGTTTCTAGTGCTTTAAGATAGCAATAGTTGGTGAGCACAGATAAGATGCGCTGTAATCAACTGATGGCTCTAATGTTGTACACTAAAAATATTTCAACGGGCATGTACATTTGAACCCAAACTGGTTGCTTATCTGGAACAAATTAGAGCACTATTATTGTTGAGGGAGCAAATCACAACTATTTGATTTTTGAACTCATGTGAACGATACAGTACTTGGATATCTTACAAAAGAACTATCTCTACGGAAGCGCAGCAAAAACTTAGGAAAACTAAGCGACACTGCAGAATTCATGAACTCTGGACAAACATTGTTGTATAAGCTGGCAAACATAATGTAGATTGGTGAGGACAGTTCTATGAAACAGTTCTAACATCAACACCATATTCAAAATGTAAAGCAGTGGTATCAACGCAGAGTACTCTTTTTTTTTTGAGGATTTCCCACTACCACAAAAAGATAAAATGGCTCGTTTGCAATGCACAGATGACGATACAGCACGAAATTTGGAGTGTGTAGGAGCAACTGGAGAGAACAAAGTATGAAAAATATGAAAAACTTAAGTGAATAGAGAGCGTGCTTAACGTTTTCCGAATTAGGCAGGCAATTGCCCTGGACGAACAGCAAAAGCAGTATCACTTGAACGGGCGCGAACTCACGCGCCTTTCTTCACCTTTGTAAATCTTGCGTCTCATGTGTTCTGCGGCTAATAGAACCGCGTTCGCCCTTAGTGCAAATTCGTACGGCAGTGATAACATCTGTGGCCATTCCAGATGATTCATAAGTTGCTGAAACCAGCAATGAGTGATATCTTGAAACAGCAATTCTTATTTGCGAGATGCTTTATAGCGTGGTGCAGCACCAGCAAGGTCGTTTATTACTCGGAAGGTATCGCGTTCAAAAACTTCCAAAAAGAGCGCTTCTACAATTTTATTTCTAACGCTTTTCCAAATGGCTTTCCGCGGATAAGAATTCCAGCCTCAAGATCAGCATTCATTACTGTGTCAGCAACATATATCTCATTTTGAGTGACAAGATTTGATGTTTTATAATAGCAAGGATCCTAATAAGCAACTGCCCAGGCTTGGCTGCAACAGATGAATTGAAGCAAGAAAAACGCTTCAAGGTAGAAGCAGCCACGCTGGCTTTGCCCATGGAATGTGTGGTACGAAGATCAGAGTTCGAGAATGGGGCATTTATACAGGGCAAGTCTACAACTACAACATATTCCGGATATATTGAAGCCCAATTCTAAATTTATTATCTTCAGACCACACATGTTGATGGGCGGAGCCAGTGTGGCCACTTCTAATTTCTGGAATAGTTTTCTCGCTTTGGAATTCATTTGTTGCAGCGAGGTTTGTGCGAAGGCTTAGTTAGGGCTCCGCTATTACATAGCATCAAAACCTCATCACCTCCAATTTGGGTGGATGCTGTCTTCAGTATGTAGAAGCAAATGTCCAAGAAGTTTTGCTGAGAACCGCTGTGCACAGCTTGAAGTCAGACAGCAGGCTAAAATTTAGACGTAGCACTAGCATAGCAATCGTGTACAAAATAAGCACATAGAATAACACCTGTTCTAATCTTGAGAGTCATTTTGAGTTTTTTTCATGTTGAGTTTGTTCATAATTGTTTAAACCTTAAAGAAAGTCGCATGTTCAATGAATCTTTGTCACAGAACAAGGCATCACTTTTTTGACAATTTAGATGAAGCTATTATTAATGATCCTGGCGGGAGTGCTCGCCATCGTTAATACAAAGTTGCAAAGAATCAATGCTCAAGGTACGCTCTCTTGTTTTGGCAAGCCGGTGCATGGGGCCACGGTGGAACTTTGGGAGAGAAATGAGAGTGGGTTGTTATGAACACGCTATCAAGAGCATTTTGTGAAGTAAGATGATGATCTCAAGAAGGTCCCAACGATCTTCTTGCAACGACCACATCCAAAAACGGCACTTACTCTCTGGATGGAAGTGAGGATGAGGAGGGCGCCCTTGAACCATTCCTTGTGATTATACACAACTGCAATGTGACATGTAAGGTAGGCTGGGAACTGTTTACTCTCTTGTTTACTTCCGAGTTTCAAGTTTAGGGCTGTCATCAGTCTTTGGTGTATGAGCTCAGAGATTCGTGTCGGTGCAAGAAGACGATAACCCATAAATCTTTTGGTTTGTCAGAGATGCGGCTGGAAACGGAAAAATGGCTAGCTCGTTAATTCTTGTACAAGCAATGAAAGCATACTGACTATGCTGAACAATAAAATTTTCGCAAACATAGACTACCGCTGGATGACTATGAAACAATGAAAAAATATGGAAAAGCAGCCACGTTCTAAAATGAGTATTCTTTCCTTTGAAGAAGGTAGCGCCAGCCGCAGCCCTTTTTCAAAAGTTTCAGGGTCATAAACCGCGAGAAGTTTGAAAAGTGACCCAAGAATATTTTCGAAAGGTATTGCTATCGTCACATTCCTTCATTCGAAGAAAATTTCAATCACGCTCCCCCTCCTTCCACAAATTTTTCTGGTAAGATGCGTAATTCCGTCTGATCAGAGTTACGTTAGCAAAAGCGGGAAGGGTGTTGCTGCATTTCAACATTACTACGCCAAGACACTGGAGCAATATGACTGACTAGCGACCCTACGGGTCGCTAGCAAGTGGGCTGGGGGCAGATACATTGATACATACTTCGGGTATCGCTGTAAATAGGTTGACACTCATTTCATTTTTTGAACGACTCGCGAGTTGTAAATATTAGTACAAACAAGATACTACGCACTGAAAGAGGTACATCTAACAGTAGGAAATCATCTGCAATTCATCTTTACTATCATGGTCAAGCGTGGGGTGTGGCATGCCACACTTGGGGGGTCCTATTGAGGAATTAGGGAGGGGGGGGGGGTCGTTATCAAGGCGTCCGCTGTTCGCATAACATGATATTCGTTAACAATGTCAAATAGGCCGTCATGCAAAATACTAGCACACTGATGTTCGACCCATTATCGTATACGTACAGTAAGCATAATCAAAGATCTGTAAAGTATTAGAACATCGTTTTGCAATTAGCGAGTAGAATAACCCCTGTGGTCCAAGTTTCAGCGAATTCGGAGGTTTCCAAATACAGGACCACATAAGTGAGATGGTTGTTTTCAAACATGTTACTCTGTTTAAAAGGTAAGTTAACTACTTTCTTTTGCGCTTAACACGAGGAGCTACTATTTCTTTGCTCACATTAGGAATCCTACAAATGACCTCCAAATTAAGGAATCAAGAGCAAGCCAAAATTACGTTTGTTCCGAATTGTCCAGGTTCGGCTGTCTCTTAACCTTGGCATGGTGGATACTCGTAGTGGGATTGGTTGAGCGAACTTCCAAGGTTGATAACACTTTTTTATTCGCTAACGTTTCGGCGCTTTCGCCTTCTTCAGAGCCTGCAAGCCGAAAGTATATGAACTTGCTCGTCCAGACGTCAACAATAGATAAAGTATCATTCAAGAACAAGGCCAATGCTAAACAAAACCAAAAGCGAATAAAGAAGTGTTATCGACCTTGGAAGTTCGCTCAACCAATCCCACTCGTTTGTTCCATTTTTCATTTTCAATATCTCAGGCTAGAGAAGACCAATCAGGCTCAAATCACTTTAATGTAAATTAAGAGGCTTAGGCCATCGAATATATACATCCTTCCCTTGCGATTCACGTAGTAACGCAGACGTAGCATGTTACCGTATCCCAATATTTTCGCAGTATTTTACCAGTATTTTACATTTGCATAATTATATCTTGTTCTTGGAGAAACGTTTTCATATGAAATTTCTGCCAAGCAAAGAAGAAGGTTAATCAGTAACAACGACATAAAATACGCAGCTATTTGATCTGTTTGAAGGTAAGTTAATGGGGTGTGGCACCACCCCATCAACTATATCAAAAAAACATTTCTAGCAAAAGTTATTTATATGAATTATCCTAGACCTAGATTTCATGTGAGTGATTTGAGCCTGATTTTTTTTTTCTTATCTCTGAGTAATATTTGGGGAAAGCGCAACCATTAAAAGCGAAAAATAGAAAAAACAAGATTTTGGTTGGCTTCTATTCCAAAGTAAGAAGGTCTTTTGAAGCAAGATTTCTGAAGTGGCCAAAGAAGGAGTAGTGCTTTGTTTTGAGTGCAAAAACAGCTAGCTTCACCTTTGAAACAAAGTTAATCGTGCTGGAAAATGACGATTTCACTTAGTTGACCCGGTATCTTGAAACTTCTGAATTCGCTCAAACATTGTCTACAGGGGTTAATTGACATGCTAATCATGGATATGTTGCCCGTTATGTTTGACAGGGCCTTCAAGTACTGCTATCTTAGGTATAGTTCAGGGGGTCTTCGGGGTCGCAACCAGCGATCGTGTGCCACACCTCCTACTTGATCCTGTTTACTATCATCTTCGCAGGAATTCTATTCCAAAAATCCCAGTCCCTAGATCTTTTCATTGGAAATCAGCAAAGATCATCTCTAATGAAGAACAGCTACTTTCGACCAAAGCTCAGACTGATTTTATGGGGCACTGACATGCGTGGAAAAGCGTTAAGCTTTTTTCTTGAGGGAAACTAACTACAGATACACACCTTCTTCGAAAGCAGGTTTCACTGGATTTCGTAAGATTGACCCTGATGTTTTCTGCTAGCAGGACCAAATTCGCCCGGCTTTTTTTTTCAATGACGACAAAAGTAGAGAGCTTAGAGTGTAATTCAAAAGTTTTACAAGTCCAGGATCTGTTAAGGAAAACTGTTCTGTCGTATAAAGTCCTTGGTCTTTTCATGAAGCGAGACCTCACTGGTCCTTTCTTCCAGCAAGACCAAGCGCTCTGCTGTTCTCCCTTTTGGAGGCAAAGGTAGGATGTTTTTAGAGCAGAAGATCCCAAAAGTATCCTTCGGCAAAGTTTCTTAAGCCTGATTGCTAAAAAAAAGTCTCCCGTCGCAAAAGCTCTGCTATTTTCTGCCAGGTAGAACAAGTTCGCCTGTCTTTTCTCTTTTAAAGGCAATAGTAGGATGTTCTGAGAGTAGGAAATCTTCAAAGTGTATTCGGGAACGTATGTTGAACCTAGGAACTCTTAGAAAAAGTTTTATCGCACATAGTCTCTGGTCTCTCTGTCGGCGAGATCAAGTTCGCCCTGCTCTTTTCCTTTTGAAGGCAAAAGTAGGATGTTTTTAGAATCGAAGAATCCGAAAGTAACACTCCCAAATTTTTATTACCCTAATTTCACGCGTATAAGGCGCACTTTCTCGAACTTCCAACGAGTCGCTCAGCCGCTTCACTGTATTCCGGAAAAAAATCCTTACATCGCACGATTCTCTCAAGCAATACACAGCACGTTATAGGGTCCTTTGGTTGTATTAGGTTGTTGCATAAGTTCTGTCCGCCTTAAATTTTTGAGTTCAAAATGCCATAAAAGTCATTTTTCCAAGATCTTAGTTTTTTGTGTTGAGCAATTCCTTGGCTATCAGATGCATTTTGAAACCTGCGAAAATCCCTGTTAAGGAGGAAGCAAGAACTCAAAGAGTTCAAAGCGTTTTTTTTCAAACCTGTCTTTTTTGACATAGCAACTCCCTTATGAGAATTGATAAGCATCTTGTCTAACAATGGATGGATAGGGAATTTTTCGTAGATTATTTTGCACTATGAAAGAGCAAAAAAGAAGCCACTTTTTGACCTCGCTTTAGCGCATTTATGCATACCTATTTACGAAATATGAAAATTTTACAATTGACGTGAGCGCTCAAAAGAAACTGGTGGATGGTCTCTGTTAGCCCTTGCTTTACCCAAGCACCTTCAACTTTGAAGTCGTCGATTACTTCTATTCGCAGAAAGTTATTGCTTGTAAAACACCTATACAATTAACGTTTGACAATAAATTTTACTAGCAAGACGTTTTCTTCATGAAACTGAACTTATGCGTATGCTAGCCTATTATTACACTCTTATTCCGCAACCAGTTAAAAAACTTGACCTGAAGGGCGCATTATGGAGATTTGCTCGCAAAAGCATATTTCTAGGGTGAGAACGTAACTCGGCCACTTGGAGATTTTAGGCCTGAAATCTCCTTACACTAAAAAATTTATTAAAATATGCTAATTAGAAAGCGCAAGAAAAGCACTTTCTAGTGATGCTAACAATACCGCATTAGAAATGAAATTCTCTTAGAACAGCTGCTTCAAACATAAGGCAAGAAAAGTCGGACAGAACTTATGCAACAACCTACTCATAGAGTCCTTTGGCATGTCTGGGCTGGTCGATTTTGGAAAAAAATCACCCGCGCCTTATACGCGTGAAATTAGGGTAGTTTAAAAGCAAAGATCAGAATGATTTAAGAAAATGTCCTGCCGCTTAAAGTCCCTAGTCTTTCTGCCGGCAAAAACAAGTTCGCCCTGCTCTTTTCACGTTGAAGGCAAAAGTAGGATGTTTTCAGAGTAGAAAATGTCAAGAATAATTATCCCTGAAGGTTTTTGAAATGTATCTGTGAAGCCTACGAGTTCCTAGAAAAAGTGTCCTGTCGCATAAGATCCCTGATCTATTCTGCCAGCAGTTTGCTTGCATTTTTTCTCTTTTGAAGGCACAAGTAGGATGTTTTAGAAGAAAATTTCATAATTATTTTTAGCAGATTTTCTAAGCCTAAAAATTGTTTTGAGAAAAATTGTCCTGTTACAGCTCTGCTCAAAAATTGAGAAACGCATATGTAAGATAATAAACATATACTAGGCTGTTGCATAAGTTCTGTCCGATTTTTTTGCCTCATGTTTGAAGCAGCTGTTCTAAGAGAATTTCATCTCTAATTCGATACGGTTGGTATCATTGAAAAGTGCTTTCCTTGCGCTTTCTAAAGCATACCAGAACTCAATAAAATTCTTAGTGTACGGAGATCACAGGCCTAAAATCTCTGAGTGGCCGAGGTACGTTCTATCCCTAGAAATATGTCCTTGCGAGGATATCTCCACAATGCGCCCTTCAAGTCAGGTTCTTTCATTGGCTTCGGAATAAGGGTATGGAATGCTAGTATATGCAGAAGTTCGGTCCCATGAAGAATACGTATTGCTAGTGAAATTTATCCTCGAACATAAATCTTTGGTATAGATGTTTTACAAGCAATAACTTTCTGCGAATAGAAGTAATCGACAAGCTCAAAGTTGGAGGTGCTAGGGCAAAGCAAGAGCTAACAGGGCCCATCCACCAATTCC